AGGCATAATAATACGTATGCATATATAGCAATTTTACAGTCACGAGAGTATATCGAAACTACACGTTACATTGTATATTAAACATTACACTTTAGATATAATAATACATTCCTAATTAAACACTGTAGGGTATATTTAATTTATGCAAATAATTATGCAAATAATATATCAAGAATGTAATTTATACTTTTTATTCATTACATATTAAATATTTATATGTTGCAAACAGCCATTCAAACAATTATTTACATATGGCCTTTATCATACCTTTAATGGATATACAGTAACACTTAAATTACATTCATTTGAAATCAACCTTTAAAAATATAATATTATCATTTATATCATGGGATCTTATTACAAAAAAATAATGACGTTATTATATGAAATAAATTATACGAAATTAATTCCGTAAAGAAGATCAAATACGGCAAATTTAAAATGTCGCAGCCTTGGTTTGAACCTGTTCATGGACAGTTCAAATTAAGAAAAAAGGGAATCTGTCATGTAAGATCGCGTAAACAACATGTTTTAACAAGTCATAATAATTAATAAAAAAGTTATTGGCAAAACAGTGCAAAAAAATGTAATGCAAATTCCTACTTGATATATCTATTTTTATATATTTGGCGGGAAAACGCAGCTGTTTACGCAAGCGTTGTGTTTTTTTTTATCTCTCTGTGTAAATATCAATTTATAACACAGATTAAATGGCTTTATAACCTTTTCAAGAAAAATAAAAAGCTATTTTAGTCTGTTTATAGATTTAGAATATTTTTGTCTTTACATAAACCACTACTACGCAGGAGATAAAAACATGCAATAAATAGGGAATATTATGTTGTAGTAGCTTTCTGAGGCTTTGTATTTTTCTACAAGCAGGGTTGGAAAATTGATATCTCGTTTGGTCTCGCGAGATATCAATTTTGCCTATGTTGCGAGTAGTATAACCTTTGAAAGCTTATACAACATTATTTTCCTATTTTTATATTCCTTCCCGCTTTAAGTCAAAAGGAGTTTCAATATACCTTACTCCTATTAGTTATTTCAGAAACCGAAATGTAGCTGTCAAGAAAATAAATAAATATGTAATTTTTGCAAAAACCGGCTTCGCCTTTAAAAAGTTTGGTTCCTGTTTCCAAATGCTATTTCATACACACACCAACGTCAAAATAGTCTGGCACTTCCACATATGGTACCGTACTTGTCAATTACATAATACTGACTTTTCTATCAGTTGTAGCGTATTCGCGCTTCAAGATATTCCTGTATTTTAGGCAGAAAATTTATAAAACGTTATCAAATTAATAAAGAGGGCCTTATAATTATGCAACTGTCAAGCTACTGATATTCATACGCACTGTCAACAAAAAGTCAGTCGCCGATAGTACTTATCTTCTGTTATCAACAATTTTATCGCATACTCGATACAGCCTTTAATTTTGATCACTTTTAATTCAACTCGTTTAATGAATTTGATATGGAAAGGCACTCGTGACACACTATTTATCATATAATCTATAATTAGTTTTGAAATGCATTTCCTGTAAAAAAATAACAACAAAGAACCCCCTCGCCCCATTAAAAACAACAAAAAGCAAACAAACAGGTATTTATATCAGACAAACTGACTAAAGTTCAGATCTACTCTCAAGTTATTTCTTGCATGTAGATCTGATTGACACCGTATTTGTTTAGCCTTCGTTATGATTCGGATTTCTCGAGAGAGCTATTTTAGCCATGCAATCAAATCGTTCTTTAAAGATAGACATTAGACGTGGTATCACTGTCCGTGGAAGTAAAACAATTTGGATTTTTGTTAGAAAAAAAAGTTTAAGGTAATTTGAAACATTTAAACTGGTAAAAAGCTATACTCAATTTTAATGGGCAAGATTGTTTTGTCAGTTTACCTGCCGACTATATGGACAGCTCGAAATCGTAAACATTACCTACTCAGTTTTATTTTTCCAGAGGTTCTTTAGTAGTACATTTGTTTGTACCCCTGGATTAGCTAGGAAAACCCCAAATTATTCTTAATTACGGGGAAAGTCTATTTCATACGATAAGTTATGCAACCATATAAAGTTTATGAAGGTACGTTTAGTAAAAAAAGAGAAAAAACAATGTTTACATTAATAAAACATACTTCGTTATGAATAATTATGTAAAGCATTGAAATTTGAGATCCTTCTACTGAGCTGTAATACTTCTTATTTATACAATCCTGTTAGAGATTGGTGCTACCTGAATCGGTGCCAGTGTTGCAAAGACATGCTTGGACATGCAAGAATTATATCAAATATTTCCTTTGCTGGTCTTATAATTAAAAAACAAAACAAAAAAACCTCAATAGATATTTAAATTTGAGATTTTTGAAGTTTTATTTCGATAGGCTACTGTTCCAATAGCCAATGACCTTTTACTTTAGCATAACATTTTGTTAGTTTACATGCATGCAAAAAATATAACAAAAGTATAAAAATACCCATGCTTCATATTCTAACTTATAGAGGAAATAATCCAAACGAGTTACCTTTTGAGTTATGTATAATTCTGCTTGCATCGTTTACTCGGACATAAATTCTATCATTTCTTGTTAGATGTACATGTGTTTCTATTTTTAGGCTACCAACTACATCACCAGTATTTGTCATATTGAATATTTCTGATCTCCCTACCAATGTCTGTTCATATCCGTATACAGTTTTACAAATTCTGATTGTAATTCTTTCTGGTCTTTGAACCCCTTTCTGGTCGATTCCGTTCTTGTGTGTTATATTAAAATGTATCGACGCATACAGATAGTAGTCTCGTCCTTCCGGAATGATCACCTCACCATCGTCGTATTTAATCGAGTTGTCCACATAGCATTTACTTGGATGTTTATTCCAGTACAGTTTATTGTCTGCTGCGTCAGCTTCACTATCTGTTAATGTATGGTATGAACTTGATCACGTGTATTCCATAATCGTTGCTCACTTAAGCAACAAACTCACAAAGGCAGAAAACGAAGGTGCCGTTGCAATTGTTCAAGTACATACACTTTAACATTCTTTGCTTATAAGAACCCGCTACTTTTGTGTTTGCTTTAAACGCTGTTTTCAAAATCTATTTGAGATTGTTTGTTTCATTTTACGCCTTTTCCCAACAGTATTTCAGTCATATAGGCGAGTAGTTTCCTAACTATCGTTCCTGGAGATTTACACCAGTACTAGACTACCTTCCTCCGCGCTAAACTACCAAATCATCTCCCGGGGATCGAACTCACGCCAGAGAGGTAACTGGATTAGAAGTTATCGACCCTTCGACCACGGAGGCGGTTATCTATTCGAGTAGAGATACCTTATGACTAGTCTAATTTCAAGAAAACTAGATTAAAAAAGAAAATACAACATCTTTCATACATTGCACATAGCCAAAATGCTTCCAATTAGCCAGCAAACTAGAGAGACCTTTTTATGTCCCGTTGCATTTTTCCTCGACTGTATTATAGATGTAAGGTTATTAGATGGAATGGATGCTTGCACTTAAAAGAAAAATGAATCAAAGTGATGAGTCTGATCTTATGAGGAAAAATCAATAAATTTTAAGAAAGAACAATTCACAGAGAGAGGCTTTGCAAATAAAAATACTTTAAATGGATATACCTGAGTTGTTTTCTTGCTTCAAGATTTCCCTGAAGAATACCGTCTGATATCCGGAGGCTTCTCTGAGGCTTTCATTTCCACAGGATAAATATCGCTTATCTTGTCCTATAAATTTTATAATGTGACTTAATATGACTAAAATATCCTTATGACATAACAGTACGTGGTATGATAAAAAAGGTCTCGACTTGGTAAACTTCTAATAACTACATTGACATTTACACACGATACGTTGAAACCAGTATCTTATTGAAGATTAATGACCGAGTTACACGCGGTTTTACATAGATTAAGTAACATAAAACACACATTTATCAGAAGAAGAATGTGTCATTGTGACCAAATGCAGAGGCGTCATAAAGTACCTATGTAAGAAAGAGACGTCCCCAAACGAAATCAATGAAGTCTTCATTGATACACTTTGGAAGGAGTCCCCTTCCTATAGCACTGTGAAATAATGGACAATTGAATTTAAGAGAGGCAAGGAGAGCATTGGAGATGATGAGCGGCCACGGCGGCCAAAAGAAGACACGAACGATGAAACCTTCGTAGCTGTGCTCGATTTAGTCATGTGTGACAGAAGGCGAAATCCACGAAGCGTTGCTAGGGAAGTGGGTATATGCTTGGTTCAGTTCAGGCAATTCTCACCGATGTCTATGGCATGCCAAAGGTTTCCGCTAGATTGTTCCCCAGACAAGATATCTTTTGTCTCGCTACGGGGGTGAACCTGGCTTTACCTACCGGATCGTATTCAGGATGAAACATTGGTCCATCACTTTGATCCAAAATCAAAAAACAAAGCATGCAGTGGAAGCACCCTGGTTCGGGCCCTCCGAAGAAATTATAGGGGGTGCCATCAGCAGGGAAGATGATGGTTTCAATTTTTTGGAAAGTCTGGGAGTAATCATGATTGACTATCTTTAGCAAGATACCATAAACAGTACGTACTATGCAGACAAATTGAAACGTCTGCGTCAAGATATCACGCATAAACGGAGGGGCAAACTGATTTAAGGCGTTCTGCTCCTGTACGACAATGCGCCAGCTCACACATCCCAAGTTGCGATGGCTGCTGCAACTGACTTAAATTCTTCCCCATCCCCCATATTCTCAGAACTTGGCCCCCTATGACTTCTACTTGTTTCCGAAGCTGAAAACCAAGCTTTGTAGTAGACGATTTGGTAGCAATGAAGGTGTCATGGAAGCAGTCTATGAGTTCTTTGAGGACCAAAATAGAGAGTTCTATTTTGGAGGGTTAAACAAGTTGGAGTAACGACGGGCAAAGTGCATTGATGTAAAGTGCGATAATAATGGGGAAAAAAACAACAACAACAACAAAACATAAGTTGGGTTCTCTGACTGCCGGAAGTACATCGGGCCAAGAACTTTTTGATACATGGATCTAAAATGTGTGTTCCTCTTTGAAGAATAAGTAACAATTCCTTCACTGGTTATAAAAAACACCCCAAAAACTGTAACTATGGATTATGTAGAGATAAAGAATCTCTAATTATTACTTAACACACAATGTTGTTGCAATCACGCAAATACATTAACACGCAAATCTATATACCGTTTATTTACTAATTTTAAAAACTCGAATGTAGAAATTTTAGATGTATAAATATCAGTTTCGCAAAGTAAACCGGCATTTTTTAAAATATTTACCTTGAGCTAGCTGTACCCTTGATACTCTCTCCACGACCTATGCGAAAATAAACATAAAGCTGTTGAAATAGCGAACAAAATATAAAATAGAAAATAATACCAAAATGACGCTTCGTTTTAAAACGAAACTACACTTCTTTCAATTTAGCTTTTCTTTATTGAAGAGAAAATTAAGCAATTATGATTGCTAGGTTTTCGTCGTGTTCAAACACTTAAAATTGTATTAACACAAAACTTTAAATATTTGCAAATAATGACAGCTGTTAGATACGGCTCATTATTCCGATAACTAGTTTCTTATTGATAGAATAATCTTATAACTTTCAAACATATTATACTCATTCTTTACATTCTTGCTATCAGAGACATGGCACCACTGCAGGACAATGAACATGACAAAGTGGTCAGTATTTCTAGAGTTATGCTCCGTTTTCACACGGAAAATAATCAGAGTTATGTTCCGTTTTCACATGGAAAATAATCAAACAATTTATAAATACCATACCCAAAATAATTAATATTCAATGTCACAAAATTGTTTATGTTATTGAGAAGTGAAAAGCATAACAGCCATTTACCGTTACACTCTTCAATTTACGTATTTTAGTCTTTGCCCTTAACAGGCGAGTCTTTGTCTACATAGTTGTTGCCACAGGCCAATGATGCGTATGATGCCCTTGTCTTGTTAGTCGTCGAGTGTCTTCCTAGATAGTTTAATGTTTTACTAATGTCTTGTCGTTCGTCTTCAAAGGATAACAAGTTTTCATACCGTTATTTTTCGTCAACATCCTATGACAATAAATTACACATACATACCATTTCTAAAATTTGAAGAAAAAAAATCAATTTAATTCCATGATAATTCAAAATTTTCTTTATAAAAGAATTACCGTTTGGAGTATTTCTGACAAATTGTTTTTACTGCAAATATAATTTCCTTTGTCATCAATGTATGTTTTCAAAACACTTTTGTTCAAATCAAATGTTACATAATCTTCATCGGCACTTAAAGAAAGGGAGGAACATGGCACAGGAAAATCTTTAATCATTTCTGTTTTAAAATATTTCCACTCGTGATAAAAGATATGTCCCAAAATTAAAACTAAATGTAAAATAACTATAAACAATATGGACAACACTGCAACAATAAGATGATCCTCATTAAACTCCAATTTTCTTCCATTTACTGTGTCTTTGAACAGTTTATTTTTAAACTTGCTTTCTGGCTCATTTAATTTTCTTTTCGCATTATCAACCTCCCATGATACTAACGTAGTTAAACACATGTTAAATATTCAATATGACGCTACAAAACCCGACTAACGTATAACAAGTTAAAACTGCTATCAAAGTGTATTATGGCAACCAGTCAACCTTTTAGATAAGGTATAGAATTACTACTACTATGAAATGTATAACGTCATTCCTTTGTTCCAATTTAATGTGTAAGTCCAATATTGATTGGTAGCATATCAATATTAGACAGCTTGTAGTGAGGCTCATAAAAATATAACTTTATACAACTCCTGCAATAAATTCAGTATTAAACTTGCATTCATTCAATATCTTCTATATACTCAATAACAGAAGACCTGATTTATAGGACCCAAACTGTTCTACACAATTGGAAATGCATATAAGTTTAATTAATGTTACTAACTTAGAGATAATATTACAAAATATAAAAGGCATTTTTCAAGGCTTGCTTCCTTCCGTTATGCTGCAAACGCCAATTTGCAGACAAGACTTAATTTTGTAACGCGATAAGCAACAATGCAACAATCGGAAAAAAATGAAATAAATGTGTTTTCCCCCACTAATTTTGATTCCTCTGGATAGATGATTGTAATATATTGCACAATTTCTTATTTATTTTTTTTATTTTTAAGAGGTGTATTAGCATTATAACATTGATTATTAATGCTAACTCAAACTGAAGAAGGAGAGAATTTCGAAGAAATGGTTTATATCATATTTTAACATATACATGCGAACATATGTGTGTGTCTTAAATGTCACCTGTTTAGATGCAAGATCGACTTAATCTTTTGTATTTATCTCAAGTATTTGAAGAATAGAGAAAGAGTTGTAAACTTGTACTAACCCAGACTTCGGCGATACACGTTAGTTAAGTATTTGCGTCTCAAAAACAACTAAATAGAATAGGTTAAAACTTCACATACTTATTTCAGGGCATTATACAAGAAAAGCATTGATGCAAAGCATCAAAGGGCGTCCAAGCAAGAAATGCAGCAAGTGAAGATGAACTAGTACACATATGATGACAAGATATTCTTATAAACTACCAGAAATGTATATCACTTATGAATTAGCGGACGAAAGACATTGTTCATTATGAACTTTGATTGGCATGCTAGAGATTAGAATATTACTTGTTATTTCTTTATGATCGTGGTCATTAATAGCAACGGATATACATTTATGCAATCATTTATATTAATCCAAATGTGTAACGCATGATCAACACGTACCACACCTTTGTAATTGTCCCTTATTATGTTATCGCTATTAGCGAAGACCCCCTCTTAAGGTATCTGTTCACACTTTAAGTTAGTAAAAATATGACACTGGTTATATTACCATGTTGATCAGGTTGAGCATAATTGTTTATTATACAAAAATTGTAATATCTATTAATTTTAATAAAAAAATACAAATTTTATGAATATTGTTTTCTTTTCTTTTTTGTGTTTTATGTGCTATTTTAATACTGAGATTTTACTACTCTTTCTTTATTAAAATTGTAAAATAAATTTTAAGAATTTAATTGTCATATTGCCGACCGACGATTATAAGTCGAAGCTTAACTGGAAAAAGTCAGTAAATTATGGTTTATCTTTCAATTTCAATGTATAATATTGTTTATTTTTGATCCATGTACATGAACATTTGTATTTTTCTTCATCATTTTTTAAATTATCAATCAATTGAATAATTCATAAAATCTAATTTGTAACTTTGAATAATTCCTCGGCATCTTTACTAAACACGAATAACAAATTAAATAAAATGTTTCAAAGTGGATAATGTCATTTTAATACCATCAAAATGTACCTTCTTCTCAATTATTGTACATATCACGGATTTATATTACATATAAATCCGTGTACAAATTTATTGTTTTTATCTCATATAGATAATATGAAACATGCTATTGTACATATCACGGATTTATATTACATATAAATCCGTGTACATATTTATTGTTTTTATCTCATACAGATAATATAAAACATGCTATTGTTGTTTTTTTTTGGCTTGCAGCCACGGCTGCAAGCCATTTCATATGGAAAACTTGTTCCGGTTAGGTGGTTTCCTGCTTACATCTGTTGGTGCATGATTGAACGGGAAACCAGCTGCAATCGTGCCAATCGCAACTTTTCGGCCTTTTCGGTCACTCTTCGGATTAATGATAATAGCCGATGTAGTTCCGATTGCAATCGTGACAATTCGGGCGATTCCGTCATACTGCGGAATCAGACGAAGTAATTTTACGGAAATCTAAGCTATTTATAGTTACTTCGGTAAACCCAGTTTGTTTATATAAACAGGATTTCTATTTTTACTTGATTTATCGGTTTAAACCGTAATAAATTATAAACGGAATTGTTCCGTTTTAATTGTTTTTCAAGACGCAAAAGTTAGTTTCTTTTATAATTGTTTTTTTTTGTCTGTATTAGTTTTATACACTGTAGTACTTAGTATTCCGTCTTCAAAGGGTGGTCATGCTTACCAAATCACGCATGATCGAGTTATATTTAGATATACTGAACTTCTTGGTGAGGTAATCTAAAAATAGCCCATGCATATCATTAACCTTCCCACTCCTCGCAGCGGTTACTTCCCCTTATCTGTACAGTTAAAGTAGCAAAGCGTGACGTAACAGCTGTGAGGAGTTTGGTGCTGATATCGTCTATTTGTGATCGTGTAACATAGTTGATACATGCTTATTAATTGGTACCACGTAACCAATTATTTTAGTGCATTTACTTGTCTACAAAGCAAAGAAATGATTTCGCTGCGAAAAAGGGGAAATGAAATGTGCACACTTGTTTTCCTTCAGTATCACGTTAGTATTTTTACGATGGATCATTTTCTTTATTAGTTTTATACAATAGAGAATAGATTTCAAATCGTTTTGACAAAAAAATATTCGGTTTTCCAAAAACCAACTAAATAAACCCTTTATGATATACAAATACCGTAATTTAAAAAAAATGTGATAATAAATTGAAACCAAAAAAAAAAAAACACACAATTTTAAAGGGTTGGGATGAAGTCACAGCTGTGCAAGCCTTTCTTTTTAAAAGGAAACTTTATTTCTAATTGTAACGAAAACCGGGAGAGACCGGACAATAAACGTGTTGTACTATTCGCCGGTCACTAGTAAATCCCGGTCAAAATAGACCGGGATAGACCGGTAATTACCGATAGGAATGATAAAAAGATATATCTATAAATAGATTTTTGGAATATTTAGTTCATCAACTGATCATTCTAGGATACATGTACAACAATAACATACCATGATAACCCACTCTGTACTACAAAATGATAAATAAAAATCCCCGAAAAGCGCGATTTATTGACGGAAAAAGGTTATTTCATTTGAAAATGTTTGCTTTGCGAAATTCTCCAGTCCGCTATTCATTGTAACATATCGCGACATTTCATTCTTAATTTATAATCAAACACCCTCATGCCGATCGGAATGATCGGCTTTTATTATGACCGACTAAAAGGCTCGAGAAGTTGCTGTCGCCCTTTCACAAAATCTGATTTCATTCCATAAGGGCGCCTCGCTTCGGCGCGGACGCCATTTAGGTTACTCTCATCGAAGGCCAATAACTCTAATGTGGATTTTGACAGAACTATGGCATTTTTTGATTCTAGAAAATTCTATATTGTCTAGGCTCTCGTTTTACTACGAAGCACTGTGAATAGTCAAGCACGCTTTTCTCTCGGATAACGTTTTCATTAGTTACTGGTCATGTAAAATAAGCTACAGTTTTCGAAAGAAATATGCGAGAATTAAGATTAATCACGCCCGTTTAACTCACAACGAGTGAAAAATGTCCATCGGTTAAAATGTTGTGAGCAACTTCCGTTCCTCGTTGTGAGCACCCGTCTAGGACGTTTGACACGATAAACAAGGTGACTTTTTCATAATTTTTGAAGATTACAGACATTTATGTAAAAATATCGGAATGCAGTTAGCTAGCGATGTGTTTTACGAGTATGCACATGTAAAGATATTGCCTGTTGGTGGATAATTTGATGGAAATACCGTGCGACGCAGTCACTCGGGGTAGCTAGAAAACTGGAGACAACTTCTCTCCGGACTAAATTTAACATTGAAAACGTCTATTTTGGTGAAGTTTTGTGCATTCTAACCATAAACAGATGCCCACAAGTCTTCAGCGTAAATTGTTTCATGAAAGTCTTCATAGAAACGAAGATATACCCTTATTTGCTTTAATCCTCGTTGTGAGCACCATAACCTCGTTGTGAGCAAGACAAGCGCAGTGCGTGTCTGGTTTTAATATGTTATTCAGATGGTGAAAAAGGGGGCGACCGTGACTGAGTGGTTAAGGTCGTTGACTTCAAACCACTAGCCCCTCACCTTTTTGGGTTCGAATCCCGACAGGGACTTTGGATTCTTTCATGTGAGGAAGCTATCCAGGTAGCTTACGGAACGTCGGTGGTTCTACTAAGGTACCCGTTTGTGCCTGAAATAATGCACGGAAGGGCACCTGAGGACTTCCTCCACCAGTAAAGATGGAACGTCGCCATATGACCTATACTGTGTCGATGTGACGAAAACCCCAAAACAAACAAAAGATGGCGAAAATATAATTTTCAATCTATCAAAGCAATTAAAACGTTTTTGCATAGTAGCATTTCTTTGAAAGACGTTGTGTATATCCCGAAGGGAGGCATATTAGTTTTGAGCTGTCCGTCCGTCAGTCCGGCAATCCGTCCGAAAACTTTAACATTGGCCATAACTTCCTTATTAGTAAACGGATTTGATTCATATTTGAAAACAACATCCCTTAGCACAAGACCTTCCTACGGGCCTGTATTTTTTTCCTTGACCTCTGAATGGCCTTCACCTTGAAGGTCAAATTGTCCAAAAACATTTAAGATTGGACATAATGTCCTTATTAGTAAATCAATTTAATTCATATTTAGGCACAACACCTCTTTGGACAAGGCCTTCAAACTGCAGTACTATTCTTTTCAATGAATGGACATGGGGTCGTTCAAGGAGAGACCGAAGCGAGGCATCAAGTATGTACTTGCCCTGGTCTGAAAAAGATAAGAACTA